AGGCAGACAACTCGAGAGCGATGTAAGCTGCTGATGTGCTTACCATACATGATGCATGCTGAAGCACTGTGGCATTTTCCATCAGGGAGATTCATTTTTTCCTCCTTAAACCCAAAAAGGATGAATTTATTTCCTATCACAGTTACAAAATTCAAGTCCTGTTCCCTTTCCTTGCAGCCTAGGAGCTTAGTCGTTGTTCCAGAAAGGCTCCACAGCATGGAGACCACACTGTGTGTCTGCTGTGATTCAGTGCCAGAGTTCCTGCTACAGGTAAAATAAACGAACTACAATCACTGCCGTCGTAGCACTGGGGGCTTTAGAGTTCACTATAAAGCTGTCAGTTGATATGCAGGGTATGCATAATACAAAGAACAGAGGGTTTTCTACACCTTGCCATCTCACTGCTCAGTCCGGCACAGCCACACAAAGCCAGGCTGGGCTCCACGAAGCCTTGCAGCGCCCTCCTGCAGGACCAATTCCATCCGTACCCCTCCTGGTGACTGCCCAGCTATCCCATGTTAAAGGCTTCCCACAGCTAATGCCCCAAAATCACAGTAAGTGCTGCATGTCCCTTGCTACAAAGATGCTTTTTCCTAACATAGCCTAATTCTTGCTTATAGCAATTTATAATAATCTTTTCTACGCTATTCTTCAAGGCAGCTCTGCTGCTCAAGGTGAACCTCTGCATAAATGGGGCATGGCAGGGTGTGGTGCAGCTGCTGCACTGTGCCTTGGATCAGGCGTGAATGCCAGTTCCCAAACGCAGAAAACACATTAAACCTGAGACTTCGCCCCGCACACAGCCAGCCTACTTAACATGATTTAATTAAAAGGAATCAAAGCAATCTAATTATTCCAAGAGAATGTTTCTGGAACAATGCCCAAATTTGAAAAAGACAAATATAAAATGCTTCACAAAGAAAGAAGCTGCAAAGAAAGAAGTTACTAAGAAATCAGAGTAAGGAAACCGGCAGCTCTGGGGGTGAAGGCGCACAGCCCCTGCCCAGGCGCTCAGCCCCACTCGTGCTGCTCAAGAGATGAAGGCTGCAGCTCGGTCCCTGCTGTTGCACCAGTTGGTTCAGTTCACACTGCCTGGAAGGACAGAGGGACCAAAAATAAAAATTAAAAAACCAGAGGGGGAGATGCAACAGCAGGGTCTGAAGTGACAGGAAAATTGCTGCTAAACTTTGGGACTCGGCTTTATCAAAATAAGCAAGACAATTTGGAGATTAAAAAAAAAAACACAAACCCACCTGCACCCTGAGATGTTTGAAGACCTGCTAATGATGAGCACTAAAAATACCGGATTTGGTTTTCCTAAAAGTGTAAGGAGCAGAACTGAACGAATGCAGACTGTGGGTTTTAGGGGGCAGCTGTCAGTCGGATGCAGGATGTTCTCCAAACGTCTGGAACAAACCGGCTCAGACGTACAACAGGCCCCTATCTGTCAAGCAATTTCACAGCCAGATAATTGGATGCCTGTTATGCCACAAAGCAAAGCAACACAATCGACATTTTACTTATGGGTTGCTGTGGTGGTTTTTGAGTTTTTAAATAAAAAACTATTTAACACACTGCAAGCGTATAAAACACTAAAAAAGAAGATTACGAAAATGATGGCAAAGCATTTGTAGTTAGCTTAATATAAAAAAAATGTTGAGTACTGTAATAATTTGGAAAATGAAAAGTGCCAACAAGAAGAACGCGCATGCATGTGTAAGGAAACAAATTATGGTGAAAATACTGGAGATTAGCAGAGACATTTAAACCAATAACACCCCTACAAGCACATGCTTTTGGCTTGATTTTCAGGCTTGCATAAAAATTCTGCCAACCTGCATCTCCATTACAAAAGCAAAGTGGAGAGACGAGCAATATTTCCTCTTTTTAGTACTTCAGAGCTAATTGCCACAGAGCTTACCTCAATGTATCTGTATTTCACCAGTAATTACCGTGTAACTGTTGATGAAAAACATCTTGATGTTGATCAAAACACCTTGATTTGTGTTCCATTGTTTCTTTTCTATATTTTTATTAGATTCTAACAATCAATGAAGGAGCACCAACGCATTTACTGTGCTCAGGCACAATACTCAGAGCCACAAATGACAACACACACAACTCAAACTACAAAATCAAAACCTTTGTCCCGTGCCAAGTATGGGCAGGGCTTTGACTTAGCTTTAAGATACAGGAACAGTCTGAACAGCCTGTGTGTACCGTACACAAAAAACATAAGCATGTGTAAAGTTGTTAACGTAGCAGGCAGCAAATAAAAGCTCTTGATAAATGCTGTTATTATTCTGGGACTTTCGCAGTGCAGAATTAAGCAGCTCCAGATATGAAAAACTGAAAGGAGCCCTTTTTAATTCGTTGGCCAGTACGTTAAAGTCTGATCCTGAATTATGGTACAGGAAAAAGCAATTCTAATCTTTCAGCGTTGCTCTAGGCTTTAGTTACTACGTCAGGAATATCAGCGTGGTAACTGGCACACCAGTAATACAGGATAACAAAGTGGCTCAGGAGAACCTGAAAAAAAAAAAAAATCACCAACAATGTGACCCCAAATCTGCAAGAGCACGGGGTTTTTACGGTGATGGGCTGGGAACATTTCGTTACCACCGGCCCTTCTGAAGGCTTATTAAAAGACTTGCATGAAAAACTCTTCATAAGGACAGCAAAAATATAGAGCAGATAAGCCTAAAGAAAAATTACCCTCCGTGCCACTGACAGAAATAGAGATAATAACTTCTATGTATATCCAAATCACATGTCTGCCTCCCGCCAGCGGCGGCTGAGCGCGCAGGACGTGGCCAGGCTGCAGCCAGCTCCTGGCCACCCCTGGGCAGGTCAAAAAATGAGCTGAGAGCGGTCAAAAAACGAACCGAGTGCATTTAATTTGCATGGCAGGGAATTCTTTTAGATCCTTGGTTACGTGACCTCAAAGAAAATCAACTGATGAAGAGCAAAAATTAGGAAAAAATGCTATAATGCTTATTTCAGTATTTACTACTTGTAATAGAGCAAAATGAAGGCAGGGCATCTCAAGTATTGATAAGCTTTTGTTTTATTTTAAAGCATTCCTTAAACAATAATCCACGCTTAAAGCAGGAGCAGGGGAATAGAAGGATTTATACTTGCATATTAACAAATACAACAGGAATAGCTTAGATAAATTAGAAGACTACAGCGCTCACATTTTTATTTGCTTATTTTAAAATCATTCTATAAAATCATAATGTAGTAATAGGCAGGGAAATAAAAAGGGATCAAAAATTCAGCAAGCTTTACAAAAGGCTTAAATTATATACTGGTGAAGTAGAAAGGTAGAAAGGAAAAAAAAAAAAGTAGAAAGGAAGCTCGCCTTGTGCCATTTTTTGGGTCTTTTTAAGGACTGGAACTTCGATTTTATTGTTCTTGACTGGATGCTGACACTCCCCCTGGTTTCCATTTCTCTAAATGTCAAGTTAGATTCCTTCTCTGAATATTCACAAGTTCTTTGTAATCACTTCCAGTCCTCTTTGTTAGGGAACTTCCTGATGACGAGTAGGAAGAAGAAAGGAAAAAATCCCAGAACTCCAAAACGAGCTGGAGCAGGCAGGCAAGTTCATGTACACACAGCAGTGGGGAAGTTATCTGCAGATCGGGTAAACCACAGGAAATCTCTGCCTCCTCACTTCTTCCACAAAGCCTTTCAAAACACCCTAGCAGTTGATGGTCCTAATAACTTCCACTACTAACTGCTTTACACCTGTTAATTCCCTTAAAGTTACCTTCATTACTAGGGACTCTGATCCCGTAATTTCGATGCTTTTCCCCTCGCTCTGACACTGAGCTGGCAAACTCCCAAGTTGTGTGATGCTGGAGCTCTCTCAGCGACAAGCCACCTACCTCATTCCTAGCAAAAACACTCTGCTCCTTGGTTACTTCAAAACTGTGATTAATATCCCAGTCCTGTGAGCTACAGCGATGTAATTGCAATACTGATTCAAACACATTTTCCCTTTATCAAAGAAAGATTTGAGATCCTCGATTTACACCGTCTTTGGAAACGCATCAAAGAGCCGACAGATTTAGAACTGTACAAGAATATTTGTTTGGTTTTTTTTTTTTGCACAATTTCACAATAAACAAGCAATTTGTGTGGGAAAGAATTCTTTCATGAGAAGCAAAACCAAGTGCAGACCTTCCTTGACTCCGGTGCTCATTTTGGGGTTCCTGTACCATCTAACCAGGTGCAGTCTCTTTCTGCAGGCTCAGATGTTGATGGGGTTCTCCCCTCCCTCCCCATAAACTGCTGTTAGTGCTTGGGCTCAGACTGCAGCCTGCTCCTTCGGTGTCCAAGACGGTAACAAGAAGCAGGTAACAAGCAGCAGTCTCTCCAGGCAGCTATTTTCACAAAATGTTTAGGACATTAACTTAAATCCTGAATTTTCAATCCTCAAGAAAGAAACGGCGTGTGATGCGTTAGGGTTGCTGGGCTACGTAGTAGATGCAAGACAACCACACGCTGCGTGGTTGTAAAACCCCGCCTTCCTCTGGAAATCTGTCAGAAATAGTCAATCCTTGGAACTCATTAGCAGCATGTTCAGCACTAGCCCATTACAAGCATTTGTTTGAAATAACCCTTGCTACATCAGTACAAAGGATGCCTGGTAAGAAATCTGGGTCCATTTCTCTAAAGGATCTCTGACAGTTCGTCCAAAACCCATGTACTCATGCAGCTGTTTTCCACATCCACCCCAAACAGGGAAACAGCAGCAAAACCTACGTAAGACAAATCCCCTGCAGGCACCACAAGACCTCGCAGTCACCCATGGTCACACAGAGCCCGGGAAGGCTTCTGCTACGACAAGTTTGTCCCAAACTATCTGGCAAAGTCTGTCTAGCAGGGAGCTTGGCAGGCAGCCTGCAGTCCCACAGAGGGTTTTCGGAATTTCACAACATTTGCACTGATGAAACTTTGCCGGTCGTTTCGTCGTTTCCTTCTGCTTGCAAACACGAGCGCCTGCCCAGGACTCTGCTGCACCAGCTCAGAGTGCACAAAGCAGGTGGCAGAGAAGTAAAGCACTGCGGGAGCACGCTATGGATAACAGCAGAGATCGATTCAGCAATGCAAGAAGCGATCTCAAATGTCTGCCTGCTACCCATCAACCAGAAATTGAATTGCCCGCAAGAACAACCTGCTATGAGCACAGTAACTCTTACATCAGGTACACGCATGCAAATACAAGTTATGCTGAACTGTATCCACAGATTCCAGGCTTTTTAAAATAATAAAAACATCTTTTATTTTAGGTGATGGGCACATGAAGTTACCTTTATGTAAATTCATGAGGATAATCAGAGCACTACACACAGTTTTTTGTTGTAAGCAGAAGAGATTGTACTAGAAATCCCAACCCGGTATTAAAAACAACAGCTTAACTTGGTTAATACAAACAATGATTATTTTTTTTCTGATTATTAGTTATTGATAGCTTGAAAAAATATTAATTACAGTGAAGAAATACCTTTACTTAAGGATACTTCAGTTTAAAAGCTAAATTAAGCCACAAGAAAGACTCGTTGAAGTCTTCGGGAAGCCCTCTGTAGATATCTGGCTGCATTTTAAAAATCCATCTCAATCTCCTAGAACATAATATATTTGCAAGCAGCCGAGACTTAAACAGCTTAATTTGCTAGATGTCTAGGACAAAATGCATTACTAGAGCTAAGCTGTGCGGGTGGAACATTTATTCACTTGACTGGAGTCAGCACTGTAGTGACTTTACCTTTCCTCTGCAGAGTCTTTGACCTTGCTTTTAAGTCCAATGTGAAATGAATTCTAAAGTACCTAATCCACGTTGTGTGGATCCAGTATTCAATAATACTTCCAAAAAATACCTTTGAGCAGTCTGTTCAGAAGAACTGATGTTGACAGGGAAGACAAAAACCAGGAGTGCTAACCTTGAGTATCTGCTGCAATGGATTCAGGACAGGCACAGGCGTTCCTCAGCAGTTACCAGCAGCTACGTACCGCCAGCTTGCTCCAGGATGTACAAAAAATTGACCTACCAGCCTACACGGTATGGGAAGAAGCCCTCCCTTTTTATTGAAATAAATAAACAGTTTGAGATGGCTGTGCAAACAATTGTGTGTTTATAAACAACAGGAATTGGTAAAAACTTCAGTCTGCTTCTCACGCCAGATGCCTTTCCTCTGTCTGGTAGTTTGGTGGCTCTGACAGGTCACACCACAAAATACGCTAACAGGATTTTAAGTACAGACCAGGACACATCTTTAAAACCTACTTAGTCAACACAACTCCTAAGCGACAGTGTCATTTTAGTGCTATTCCATCTTTATAACCTCTATTTTAAGAGCTCTTTAAAGTTTCAGGCTCTTCCTCTTCTTGTTTCTTAGATATTAAACCAGGACGTAACGCCGAGCCCAGTTTTGGCTGCAGGACCACAGTCGGGTGTGTGAATGAAAGCTGAAACCAGCTGGTTTTATATTCTGCTCAACGTGCATTGTCCTCAACAGGACGTTCAACAGGTGGGACTGCTGTCCTGCGCTCCTGCTGGGGTAAGAAGGTGATCTTCTCAAGACTAAATAATAATTTAGTAATTTCAGGTTTTCCTCTGATTACAAAGCAATTGCTTCATGAAGCGATGTTCAGATTAAGGAACATCTTAATGGGTTAGGAGAAGGAAAAACAATCACCCAGAGCTCTACGCTTTAAGAGAGGAATTAAAATATTTCGGGCTTTTCTCATTCTGCCTGAGCTACGAACAAGAATACAAATGTAAAGAGTTTTCTCTCTTAACGCTCTAAGTTTTGTGCAAAACAGATGTTTAGGCAGTAAAAAGCTTAAATTGCCTAATAAAGCACCATTTGCACATTCAAGTTTGCAATGACAGAACCCTTGTCCAGTGGATCCCAGTGCTATTTACCAAAGCACCAGGGGCAATGCGAGTGGACCTGCAGAAGGCTCCCCCCGTCTGTAATCCCCAGCGATTCCCCACTCTCCCGGGAACACAAAGACAAGGTATTTTTAAATAGGTCACGCAGAGGCTGGGTGGTAATTACAGAAAAACGTTAATCAGATTTGAGCAGGCAGAGCTGCTTATCTCTGTCAAGAAGCCTTGCTAATATCAGGTCTTTCTTCACATCTTAGGACAAACAGACATTCAGAGCACAATGCTCGTATGGAAATACTCCAGCATACAGAAGCCTTGCTTCTCCGCCAATTCTGGCCTCGCTTTGATGACAAAATACAAAACAAACCAGGAATTACACAGCACGTGGATGGATCTCATTGTCAGAAGGCTATGGAAAGCGAAACAAGAGAAAGCCCAGTCGCTGAACTCTTGCATTCATATAAAGGATCCTGATATTGCTAGGAGGTCCTGGACCGTACCCCCAGCACCTGAAAAGCATCTCAGAGGTAGTGTCAGGGGAGTCCCACCCTGGCAAGGTGGGCCCAATGCTGCCCAAATGAAGTGTGTGGCAGGGGAAGGGAATAGGTAAAATAAGAGCCTGCTTCTTGTCCCTGTGCCCTCAGCAGTTCAGAGGTGTTTTTCACTATTTATCATACTCACAATTTGTGTTTTTCTGGCTAAACTACCCATTCTTCTAGAGGAGTATTTTATGAAATCAGCACAGGGCTAACAAACTCAGAACAACACCACAACAACTTTTCAGACGGAATAACTGCTTTTGGCAGTTATACTTGTTGACCCCCTGTTCTCTGACAAACTTTTTTTTTTCTGAAAAAAATGCTAGTTTTTGCTGAAGACGGTTGATCTTTAACAAGACAGCAAAGGATTGATACAGCAAAATTTTGCAGAGCCCAAAATAGCTGCCAAACTCAAGCGGCTCTTGGGAAATAAACACAACAAACATAGCCCCCTTAGGAAAACCTGGTTTTGTTAAACAAGGTCACAGTGTTGGGCTTCTTTCCCTTTTTTCCCTCTTCCGTTTTTGTTACCTGTTCCTATATTTACTGAATAAGGAGACCAAGTACACATTTTTCCATTTCCCTCTTTGGAATTCTGTAATATTTCTTTTACAGGAGCAATTAGTATTTGTTGTTGTTTAACAAGAAAAACCCCACAGAAATAAAGGAAAAGTATGACTCAGAGAGAGACCAATAATTAGGTCATGTGTCCAATTAGTTTTCGTGCTTAAGTAGTTACTCTTTAGGAAATGCTCAACCTTTGATGTGCAGCAGGCAACCTACCAATTAATTAGGCAGAAGGAAGCAATGCAAGGAATGAAACCTCAGAAACCGTATCAAAGCCCAGAGATATCTAATGAGGGGAACAACAGCATCAACAACAGAAAACATGCACGAGGAGGTAGACGCTTCAAATGATCTTCAAGTATCTTGGCTGCGCTTCCTTTTAAATTAAGACAAAACTGTTGGGAAGCAGACGAGAAGAAAGAAGGAAGAAGCCTCGTTTGATCAGAAAAGCATCAGTTTCCTTGAAGACTTGCCAGAAAAAAAAATTATATATATAATTTCTCTCTATTCTATGAGACGTTTCCCCAGACATTGTCACTCACTGGTGGAAGCAAGCTGCAAGAGGCACCACACACCATATGATATTCAACTGGGGAAAAAAAAAAAACAAAACTATTTGAAAACCTGCAGAATTAAGCACCATGGGACGTACATACTGCTAAGAGCCAGACACCAACAACACAGAAGAAAACGATGATATAGCCAATGAACATTTCTGTTAATGCTGTATGAGGAAGGGAAAGGGATGAAAGGGATGCCCACTGGGGACTGGCACCGAGTTCGTCGTTCCCTTAGGCCAGGCTCCTGCCATGGTGTCAGTGCAAGGTTGCTGCAGTCGCTGCTCCTCAGCTCCGGCTCCTCTTTGAGCTGAGGGAAAAACGGGTGCAGCCACATCGATTAACGGCGTGGAAACACCTAGGACATACCTTGATCTGCCAGACTAATGAGTTCAGATACGTTACTAATATGTGATGTTAATCTAAGTTATGCAGTTCTCTTATTGATGCTCCATCAGGAACAGAAGCCAGCTTGCTGCGTGACAGCACCCACAACATTTATTTACACACTGTCCTCAGTGCCAGGGACATTACAGATGCAGCAATTCTCAACTATCAATACCCGTTTTCAAGCCAACATCTCCAAAAGTTAACTAGAAATACATTTAGTCTGGCCTTCCAGATCTCTCTAGCCCTTCCCCTACCAGATATTTTCATTCCCCATCACAGGCCACTCTCCTTCACTCCCGTGAGGTCCATTCAAGTGGAGCTATAAGGAAATACTAACAAGAAATCCCATTAGACAATCAAAACACAGCATTAGTGGAGATGATTGTCTTTGGGAGAGAGAAAAAAAAGAGGAAATGGAGAGAAGAAAGAGACAACAGTGTAGCACCTGAATTAGAAGAAAATCAATACTGTAATTGACCGACTCTTCCTTTGTTTTATTTAGGCAAGTGGCTGGGAGAAAAAAAAGTCTGTGGGATGGAACATTTGAAGCTCTTTGGCTTTGCTGGTGTTGGTTACTGCAAAGTAAAGAAGTCCCAGAGCTGCTGGCCTTAAAGGACAGGAGGGGGAATGGGGGAAATAGATGTTGCCCAGATGACAAACAGACCTTGCTGTGGCTACATCCTACAGAGAGGCACAGACCTCTCGTGCTCCTTTAACTGACTTATCAGAGGGTGTAAAAATTTCTCTCACCAAAATCCTCTTTATGTCAGTTCGCTAGCTAATGATCCAAAACTCATTTAAAATTCCTTCTTGAGCATTTCAGAAGACTCTTACTTGCTCCCCAATTTTCGTTAAGAATTACAAAAACCTCTACTGGTGCTCCTCCTCTTTGAAGCCTCCAAATCTTATTTCTTTCACTGATCTCATATACCAACAGAACTGACCTACGACCTTACGCTCCGGGCTGTTCCAAACCCATTTCCCTCAGTACATTCTCTTCCATCTGCTCATCACATCTTCAAACCTCCCCTGGAAGCACTTGCTGCTTGTTCCTGTCTCGTACCATGCTGCAACATCTCCCAACACGCACACTTAGGCTTCTGGTCCATTAAGACCCTATCACATTGATTGCTATTATTTTTTATTTTACGGTCCCTCTGTACCCTCCTATTTGTCTACCTCATTCCCATTCGAAGAAATTCTTTATCCAGAGGGCGGCGAGGCACTGGCAGAGGCTGCCCAGAGCAGCTGCGGGTGCCGCATGCCTGGAAATGCTCGCGGCCGTGGGCAGCCTGGGCTGGTGCCCATGGCAGGGGGTTGGAGCTGGACAGGCTTCCAGATCCTTTCCAACCCAAAGCCTTCTGTGATTCTCTGAATCTCTTTCAGGTCACAAGCTGTGCAGCACGGCTTCCATTTCATCTGTACAGCACCTTGCTTGAGCCAGCCTTCCTCCAGCAGCGGTGCTCCCGTGTGCTGCGGTGGTACCATTAAAAATGAAATTAAGCCTTACGGAACCACCCCCGTGGGAGACACAAACACCCCTCATTTGTCTCACATCTAGCTGTGCAAAGACAACCTGCATGGCACAAACTGTCAGGAAAAGAAAGGTTTTATAAAAACGGAGAACACCGATTTTAGATGAGACCAGCCCCCCTGCCCCCCCTGTTAAGAAGGCTCTTCACAAGCAACGGAGGAATGTAAGTGCCTCTGAGCTGGCTTTCTTAACCTAACCTCTGCTCAGGAAGGATCACAAACAGCATTTTTTGACCTTCCAGTGGCAGGACTGGGAAAGTTTCTGTAAGGGAATAAAGAACAGTGTTGTAAAAAGCATTTGGTGTAGGAGGGCCACTGGGATTCCTCTGGACTAGCAGAAATCACAACAGAAGTGTCAAAATTGAGTGTGGTAAGAGAAAGGGGAAAATAACACCCTGTGAATTTTCTGGGCAGTTTTGAGTTAAAAAAAAGATGGTCAAAAGCCATAGATGACAAAAAAACCTGTAATTCCATGCAAATTTAATGAACATATGCTCCAGACTACTTCATACCAGCTCCTGAATTATGTAAGCCAAGCATCATTCAACCTGCAGCTCTGCCTTTGGCTGCACAGCCCCGCGCTCATTCAAAGGTAAATGCACAGGAATGGAAACAAAGGCAAGTAATGGTCCTGCAAAGCCAGAAAGCCAAGTACTGAGACTTTTATTACAAGAAGGGGGGAAAAATATTGTCTGGCACCCTTCTAAGCATGAAGCCAGAAATCACAGGCCAACCTCATCTAGGAGCATTTTACACGTTTACACGGGGTAATTGGGGCTCTTCATACAGAGGTACTGCAGCCTGGTTCAGACAGCTCCAGCCAAGAGGATGCAGAAAAAATTCTCTCAAACCAGCCTGCAAGAGCAGCAGAAAGCTGAGCAGCACCTTCATCCTCTCCACTAACCCCTCTGCTCCAGCTCACAGCAAAGAGCTCCCAGTCCCAGGCTCTGCCCAGTAATGGATGTGAACTGGGACTTCAGCAACAGCTTCTGCTGATGAAATCCCACACTTGGCTACTGCATCACTGCAGGAACACTGAACTCACCGAGCATTATTCCTAAGTTAAAAGTCAACAGACTCTAAAAACAGGGAAGTCCCTGCTTTTTGAATGGTGCAACACGTGATGCTGCCAAAATTAAACGTGCACACGAACACCACGGGAAATATTTGTTACTCACTGCCAGCACAGGCAAAGTATTGCCCTTGCTGGTCGTTCACTACAGCACCACACCTGATCCCAGGCAGAATTCTGCAAAGGGTAATGAAAGACCAGAAGCAGAGAAATACCATTTCCATGCGATCAATATCTTATCTAAATACTTTAAGTACTGAGCACATGAAGAATCTCCAAAAGAATCTCAACGCACATTTTATTGTAGGCAATTAAAGTGATGGAAGGCGCTGTCCGGCTAAAGGCTCTCCTTTTCCATGGGCTTCTCCTGGCACTGCCTGCCAAAACCTTCAGCCTGGGTCCTGTAACCTGGAAATCCCAGTTCTGCTCAGCTGCTCCAGCCATTCCCTAATCCAGGCAGCCCACAGATTCCCCCAAACACCCGAAGAGCAGCTGCAGGGAAGGCTTTCCTGTGGAGCTGCACTATGGGGTCCTGTGCTCTGAGCCTCCCCTACCTTTTCCTCATTTCATTCTCAGCTGCTTAGGCAGCCCCCCTTATCCCCTACCACCGAGCCTCCTTTCCAGATTACCCTCAGGTCTAACCCCTTCTATGCCCAGTGGAACTCAAAGCCCATGGCAATACTGGAGAAGGGCTCTCATTTTTTTCTCTCCATTTTTTCACTAGCTCCTCAATCATCTTTGCACCGAATTGCAAGGCCTCTTACTTGTTCAGACAAAAACCTTCAGAGATAAATTCTTCATTGTATGCCTGCAGCTTTGTCATCTCCTACTTGCTTCCCCCAGTAAAGATTTTCATTTGAGAATTGCAGTGAAATGACTGAATATTGTTTAACTGCAGTATTTTGCAGATGAAAGAATGGCTGAAGTGTTTCTTACTCCTGCAGCACACAAATTTATGTAGCTACACAACAATAAAGCAAAGTCTTAAATTTAATCAGAAGAAATACTTCAAGCAATGGCAAGCTGATAAATTATTTAGAAAGGGGCTCAATAAGACCTAGAGGGAAATTGGCATCAGCTGTGCAGCCTGGGAGCTCCCAGAAACAAAGAATTTCCATCCTTGTCCCTTCTAAGGCTTTTTCACCTAAGCTATTTGTATTTAACAAAAATGGGCATTTATTCAAACATCATCTTACAATTACAGGCAGACCAGAGCTGCACTGGTAGTGGTGTTAAAGGACTTTTCACACAGCATTTATTATTGGGACAGTACTGGAAGGACTGACAAGCCATTTACCAGCAGATACCACTATTTGTGCATTCACAATACGATATTGATGCTAGGCACTTCCTAGCTTAAGGACCCACAGTAACAAGCCCGTAACACCGACTATTTCAGAAGATTTTAATGATTTGGTCTTTTTCCAGACTGCCTAGTTTTCCCAGAATTGTCTTCTTCCCATCAATTCTTCAACCATTCCAAAACACTGAGAACTAGACAAAACTAGATGTATTAGTATTTATATGAAAGGTCTAGGAAATTCAATAATGTTCCTATTGTTTTATTGCAGATGGCACATCAACTTCTCTTTATTACTGCAGAAAACTCAAGAGCCCTGTAGAGTGCAATAAAACGGTACGTGTTTAGCTTCGCAATGTTTCAAAGGGCTGTGATTTACTGCTACGAACCAGGCACCTTGCACACAAACATCTGAGTTCAGTAATTGCCTCATGTTTTGTGCAAACTCTACAAGGCAGCGTGAGGTCAGCCCACACACAGAGTACCTGCTGCTCCTCGATGCCTGTCCCTCATCCTCAGTAATACGGACTCTGTTATTAAAGAGCTGGGAAAGGTTTGTTGTCACCTTTGCATCAAGATGTTTTACTTCTCCCATTCGGTCGCAGGCACTGTTTATATTTTCTGCCAAATCTCTGGGCTGCCAGATAGATTAAAAAAATTGCCAATGCACCAAAAGGAAAAACACCAAAGTAAATTCTTCTGTCTTAAATATACACCATACTTACACGCTTCAAGACAAACCCTTCTTATATAAGCATACTTCCAAACACTTCTGGAAAAAAGCATATCCACCGAACATTTGAAGTGTTATGTAGAAAGCTACCCACAGATTTAGCAATGTAAACATCTCACCACTAAATACAGCACTTCTCCTTCAGGTAACACATCCAGCCTTCGCTGAACGATGAACTCAGTTCTCAGCAGCCAACCCTGAACAAGGGGGTAGGGAAGTAACGCACACAGGCAAGAAATAAAGAACCTGCATTACATGTATTTCTTCTCAAACTGCTCTGCATATATTATTTCCATCAAGCTTGAGTTAAAAAGCAGAAGAGGGACTCAGAATGCATACAATGAAGTCCTTCACCAGCATCCTTTATAAACCACACGCACCAACAACTCTTTTTTGGTGAAAAATATTCTCAGCATCTGGCAAAAGAAAAAAATTGTTTACTGTTGCAAAGATAACCCCAAAGCCATTTATCTTTTATCTGAAAGTACTGGTCCTTTATGAAGGAATGGAAGATGTGGGTAAAGAAAACAAAATCAACCCCCCCCAGCTCTCCAGAAGGTGCAGCTCCCTGCAGGAACAGACCCTCAGAGCTGGTAAGTTCCAGCGCTCACACAAAGCATTGGCAGTGGCGATCTATCTTTATTGATTTTATAAATTACGAAGAAACGAGTAAACAAACATAACCCAGCACAGTTTAAATAGAAAGATCGGTTGAAGATACCTAAGGACACCGCTAACACAGACGCCTTCTCAACCACTCTTCCTGTACTGAGGACAGGAACACGAGAATAACTTTGCCAGTTGCAGATCACACTCTTAAACCATCCACCAACAAACATTACAGAGAAAGTCAGTTGGTCATACATTAAATAAGGTAGCGAGCAATGTTAGAAGCAGAAAATATAGTCCCAGTTCTGACAAAAATGCTCATTAATACTGAAGTCAATTTAAAATGAAGAGATCAAACAGCGTCCCCTCTAAAACATCTCCCTAAAATGAAGATCAGCTTAAGGCGCATCATAAGGGGAAAAAAAATAAAGGCAAATCTACAGGTAGGTTCATTCAGTAAAGTTATTATTTCTGTTTGGGTTACACATTACTTATAATCATAAATTTATGCTTTAGTAGCCAATAATGTAGGTACTTTGAAGAGCAATATTTATCTGTATACCCTACAACACACCGATAAGGACAAGAACACACCTGGAAATGTAAAAAAAAAAAAAAAAAAAAAAAGCGAGGATGATTCTACAGTTTGTTTCTTGTACCTATTTGAAAAATGCTGCAGACTTCAAATTTTCTTCTTTAGATCTTATGTAGCTTATTTACTGAGACATAAAAACTGTGGATACTGAAACACCCAGCAGTAACAAACTTCCCTCAGAAGTGATACTGAAATGTTACAGAGCAGAAAATAAATAGCCAGTAAGGAGCATGTTTAACTTCTGCTTTGTTACTAGTATCCAAAGCAGTCACTTTCAAAAACTTATATACACATTGTATTAGTTCTATACAGATACAATTAGCAGTTACCAAAGGTCTCCAGTTACATTTTACAACCAAACCAACAGCCTTCCTTGGCTACTGACCATACAACGTTTACTTTTTCCCATCAGAAGATTAACAAAGTACCCATCAGTGCTGGGACACATACTTTTGAACTAGCTGAGGCCAAATATTTTTATTACAGATGAAACCACAAAACTCAGAATGAAAAACCTGTGAACATCTCAAAAAATAAAGACGGGAGAATATAAATTAAGTTCTACAGCTGAGTTCTTATCTAAAACATCCCACACATGATTGAAGAAGTGCTAGCCAAGAAGTATCCGCTAGAAACCTTGGGATTTTGACAGCCTGCAAGAACGCGTTCATCCTGATGGATGACAGAAGCAACAAATGCTGCAAGAGCACCGTGCCACACAACAGCACACACCTCAGTTTTCTAAGTTGAAAGTCTACAGTGAAGCGGTGTCACGCCTATAGATGCTGAGGGGGAGCCCAAGGAATACTTACTCTTGGCTGCCAGTTTTCATACTGCTTCTGTAAGTTCGCCCCAATGGTTTCCAGAGCTTTTTGAGGACCCATTGATAGGGGATCTAAGAAACAAAATACACATGAGTCTTTTTGACCACAATTGAGTCGTTCAGCTTACCAAGAGGATGACATTACTTCCAGTTCCATGTGCATTTAAACCTGTAGCTACTTCACATTATGTTTCTGTAAAATCTGGATCTACAACCTTGGAGACCAAAGTCTACTGACAAGAGCAGCACTCCTTGCAGAACAAAGGCATCAAAGCTTCTGCACTGCTCCTCTCCAGCGTTCTGCATGCAGGAGAGGGCATTTAGTGATAACTTAGTGCAGATTTCTTTCCTGCATTCATTTTAAAATTCATCAACATTATATTCTTCATGGAAGTTACTTAGGTATAACACCAAAAAATTATCCTCAAACTCTCCACTCAGATACAAAGTAAAAACCATTAGAACCTGACAGATTTGGAAGATTTCTCTCACTAAGGTAATAAATACAAATGTTTGAAAGGGAGGAGGAAAGGCTTACCATTTGTGTCTTTTAATACTAAAAAAATGTTTCTGTAGTAAATAATGACAATTGAAATAGCTTACACAGACATTACAAATGGTGTACAGTCTCTGAAGCAGTAAGCAATGGTAGTAAATGAAGCAAGATTGTTTTTATTAGAAAAAAATGTTTATCATCAAACATATAACCATTTTAATAAGTTAATTTTATCACTAGATAATTACCACAATCCATAGCAATATAATTTCAGCTTATGTGCTCATTCAAAAAAGCATGGCTGTATAATTGACAAGTTTCAAAAAAAAAAAGCCTAGAAGCTAATATTTTGCAATTTAATACAAATTATTTTTAAAAGCAATTAACAGATTCCATTAAGTTTTTAAAATCAACTTTATGAATACTCTACCTTATACTATTAGAAACAAAACCTAATAAAGCATGATGAAGGCAAGATTTTATGAGTTATTTTTCTCAAATGCATAAAAACTAGGATTTTGCTGAAGTTATCGTATTCTTTTGTAGAATGATTTAAGGTAATATATCATTCACATTTTTCCAGACAGACTGAAAACAAATAACCAGCAGTAGTAAATGGGCTTCTTGAAGTCTAAGCAGACAATCTATTTCCTTCAGCTTAGCTTCAGCTCTTGCTCCACAAGTGTAGCCAGGAGCATCACCAGACGAAAATGAGTTCTCCGGTCCTCTCTATAAAGCCTGCAGTTTCAGCACTCACTGACATACATTTCAGAAATGTTTCTACACACTGCAGTAATCTTTGTCACTCCGAACTGCACCAGTCCCCTTGCTTTTTAAAGCAAGTTTCACATGAGACCCTTGAGCTGCAGGACAGCAGCATTCACACTGATGCTACTAAAAGGATTCACACTGCCTTGTGAGACCTTTTGTTAGTTAATATGCCATTAGCTACTGCTCAAACAACAAAAATGCAGCATAAATACATCAGACATTTCAAAAGGACCAAGCTGAACGTTAAAAAAAGAAATGTAAAATATTTCAGATCCACTCTGCCAGCAGAGGAATACCGTTAGTGGACTTTGGAGTGCCTTCGGAGTACCGAGCACTAGACAATGCCCTTCCTGCTCTAACAAAGTACACTGGTGCCACTCCAAGAGGCAAACAAGAGAAGAAAATCTTCTGTTTCCCTCAAGACTCTTGTACAGCAGAAAAACCAGTGGGTGTTTTTGCAGATTACACAACTTTACATTTCTGAAAACAGTAGAAATGGAAAGGAGTGCTTGTGTACACACACTAAAAATTTAATTTAAAAACTGCATTCAAAATTCTCTTTGTTGATGATAATCACTAATAACCTTAACGACTCTGCAACACTCCTCATTCTCTTTGCTCTCTACCCATGTACCAGTGAGAAATGAGAGCTGTTCTCTCCACTGAAGAGACATATTTGTTAGTGCATGCTCATGGCTTTTTAATTGCTTTAAAGTCATCAGCATTTTTTGGTTTAAAAAACAAAATGAGACACTGCAGATTCATAAAGCAGGTTAGAAACGAAATGTTCTGAAAGTTGTTTTTTAAGAAGTTCAGTTTATACAATGATTAATTTGCCACTGTAGCCCATTATAAGGCTCAGTATTTGGGATTACGGGGCTTTGCATCTTACTCGCTGAAGACTGAACATTTTCAATTCCTAGATAAAACCCAAATCTCTCAGATTTCTTACACAAGGTAATTCCTTTCAATATTATTTCAGATTTATCTCATCTTGAAAATCTCCAAAACCAAGGAAACTTTTCACTTCCTAATGAAAAAAATAGAAATTTAATCCAACGCTGCATCAAAGTATCAAGCCCTTGTGTTAGCACTGCTAGCAAGAGATTTTTGGGAATAATTCCAGGTTTTCTGAATTTATGTACCCAAGTCAAATAGCCTCAGAGCAGTCACCTCGAACTGCAGTGAAGTCCACGCATGTTAAAGACCTATTTCTCAACTGTATGAGGCAGGGTTATTTTAAACCTTTGCAGAGCACTCTGAAGATGTAACTGCTCAGAGGTTTCCTTAGATACATTTTTTAATATTTTTAATTCCTGTAGATTTATAAGTAAGTAGCTAATTAGCAGCCTTTTTTCCTCCACACTATCTCATTTTAGAATAAAGCAGGAGAGATGACCTATGGCAGCTGATACTGCTGGACACTTAATTAACTCGTATAGACATGGAAAAATCATAAACCAGATTTCCTTTTGTTCACCCTAGTTTTAAGGCCAGGAAACCGACAACTTTGCAATTACCATATATGCTACACCTCAGTATCTGTAGGACTAATGCAGTTATCTGGAGCTTGGAAGATTCAAGACTTACCTATCCAACACTCCAGACGGGCACACGGAGTTGTTTTCACCACATCAGGAGGGTCCACACCGACATTTAGGCACAAAACTAAGGCAACACTAACAGTCTTCATCTGGAAAGAAAAAACAGTAAAACGCTCACTTAGAAGCTAAATAATTTTTGTGCTGAAGTCTACTATAACTTCTGAAGGGTTTCAACTAAGTTTCGTTATCTGCTCTTTAACACAAACTATTTTAAGCAAGGCATGACTGATTACATTTTTTTTTTAATAGAACAGTACTTCGAGATTTTACATTACTATTTTTATTATTATTTCCACAGCTCATTCTTCTTTTATACAGCATGGAAATGGATATCATCGGACTTCTATGCATCTTAAATTAGTCACTGTCCAACTGAAATGTATTATTAAAATATGGGAATATGCTACTCAGGGTCCCTGATCAATATTAGGATATAGTATGTCCTTTCTAATACTGAAACCAAAAGCAATAAAAGGAAAAACATCCAAGTGACTAACTAAACTCTACCAAAATGTTTAGTCCTTGTTTTTTGTTTCCTTCACATGTAGCTAACCTGGATACATTTCGCAGACCTCTGAAATGACACAGCTCATAGAGACAAGAACCTCAGTAAGGTGCTTATAATTATCTGAAGAAGAGACTAAAGGAATTGGGTTTCATTTTTTTTTTTTAATTATTTTTTTTTTTTCCATATTGCCACATTCAGAAGCCATCCTGCATTTTTCCACCTTTTATTCATTTTTCTAAAATTCTGCAGCGGGAGATGTTTTGGCAGGCAAAGCACATGGTGTTGAGCACTCCAGGTACGTATACCCCACACAAACAGCCCACAGCTGGATGGGAAACACGTTACCTTGAAGCTTCTAATCAGAAGTTTCCCCTTCAA